AATGTTTTCTTACTGGGTTTTAGAAAATAGAAATGTTCAGGAATATAATTTTTTTAAATGTAAGTAGATTTTAGAAAACAAAAGATCTTTTAAAACAATAAGACGAAATAAATAAACAGAAAGAAAGTGACATATGTAATAAGTAAAGATGATAAAAGAAAAAGAAATAATAAGTAAAAATTAATGTAGTTATATATGATATGAAGCATCATTACTGATTTGAATTTTGAGTTATCAATAATGATTACTATCTTTCCCTATTATTGACTTTTATCGTGTCGAATTGTATTTTATGTGTTACAAATTGGGTAGTGCATTTTAGCCAGATCTTCAAAATGTCATCAACTGGATATTAATTCCCAAAATATATTTTAATGTTTACAACCTCTTAAGTTTGGATTTCAGTATCTCCCTTTAAATACCAGAAAATGTATATTGGTCTATATTCAAATAAGATATATTAATAATATATTAACTTTAGTCCTATATTTTTGTAAAGTTTACAATTGTGGTTTCTAATTTTTGTTTAATAATTTTATATTTTTTAACTTTTAACTGTTCGTAATCTATACTGAAGTTCATTGTTGTTTTTATCTCTTAAACTTTAATAATTTGTAGTTTTGTTCAATTTTTAAATTTCAAACCTTATCGAATCATTATCCAATTATATTTTGAAACAATTAATTGTTAATTTTTCGATAATGTAAAAAAGTCACAAGTATTTTTTATCTCTCTAACTTTCCCTATACAATATCCAAAATCATAAAAGAATTGCGGATAATTGAAAGAAAAATTGTCACTGATATTTAAAAACTAAGAATCAAAATTGTTTGAACAAAAAATAATAACTAAAATTACTAATAATACAAAATTAATTAACTAAGATGATGTCTAAAAGAATATAGAAATCAAAATTTGCAGATTTAAAAAAATATGTTTAAAAATTATAATTAAGCATGAAATCGCTTCTTCTTTGCCTGTAAGATATAAAACAAGAAATGTGGTTGGTATTTTCTCCAGTCAGATATAGGTGACTAAAGTGAACTCGTAATTAAATTTATCTATAATATCATTTAAGTTTATAAAAAAATTAAATATTTTAATTGTCATTTTAAAAACCATTTTTATATTAAACTACAATAAAATCGATTTAGAATTAAAAGAATATTTGACGCAATTAAATGATCTTATCTACTTTTATTATTTTCTGTTTTGCCATAAAGCACACATATACGCGTTTTTCCAGTGCTGTAAATCACCAACTCTTGTATGAACACATATCTATATTATATAAAATAAAATACATATACTTTTCTATTTACAAATATTTATTATTAAACAATGTAAAGTGTTAAGTAAGAGTGAATATTTTTTTTTCCACAATGGTTGTTGACTACAATCCAAATTTATTTAAATTAATAGTTCTTTAATTCCAATCATGCTAATGAAAATCTGTAATGACTTTCGTGGATTTGCGATTTACGAATTCAATCAACCCAAACTAAATTTATGATATATTTTTAATTATTATTATACACGAAGATTAACGATTTTCTTGTTTAATTTATGTATTAAGTACGATAAAATAAATTATGTTAATACTTTCAATGATAGGCACTTTTGTGAAAAATAATTGGATAGAAAATTAAATTTCTCCCACACAGTCACACCTGTCTTTGTTCTGACCACAAATTGCATAAAGTGTGTAGAAAACTTCAATTTTTCAGTTGCAACATTTTTAAGTGTGATTTTTTCTCTTTTTTTTTCTCAATTCTCACCATCATCCATTTTCCTGGTTATTGTTCATATTCTTAATATTAGTTTTATTTATTTATTTATGTGTTTGTCTTTGACCAATTGTTTATTTTAATTGAATTAATTAGTGTTGAAAAAATTCGTTCAGAATTAAATTAACAGTAGAAGTTGAAATTAGGGTTACAATAATTTTATCCGATTCAAATTTCAATAAACATGAATATAAGGAATTAAATGATATTTTATTAATTAAATTCAATCAAATAAAGAAATAATAATCGATATTATATATTGTTTCTCTTAGTTTCACATCTTTTAGAAATCAAAATCTAAAAGTAATTTAAATATATTTTTTTTACACTTTTAAAGACATTTTTAATGATAAAATCTTAAAAAACTCCAATTTTTAAAACGGGCACTCATATTCATGATGATTGATTTTAATCTTTTTAGATAAACTCTCAATTTCTTAAACCTTTAATTATAAATTTAACGATTTTAGACAAACCCTCAATTTTTTTTAAACTTTCATTAGATATGATGCGAACATAAATAAATATAAAAAGATATGATGGGAACATAAATAAATATAAATGAAGTGAAATGTGTAATTATATTTACCTTCTCTTTTATAAATGGTCACCTTTAATATACATTTTTTAAATTGTTTTCTGTTTAAATTGTACAATGTATTTCTTTATTCTTCCTGTGTTTTTTTATAAGAAAGTAATGTGTTTATGTAGACAATTATATAATAATTATATAACTTTTAAGCATGTACAATTACATTTCTTTTAATTTTAATATTTTTTTCTCAAACATTGTAAATGATTAATTATTGCAACTATCTTTTATACAAATATTGGGGATCATCGTAAGTGTGAATAAAAATAATATAAGAGACCTCTCAACAAAGATGTTGTTAAATATATACGTTAAGCTATAAATCATACTCCATCATTTTTTTTTTCTTTTTTTTCTTGCATTCTAGAAAAAAATATTTTTTTCTCCAAAATTCACAAGATATTTATTATTGTTTTTGTTGTACTCTTTATTCTTATAATAACTTTTAAATAGTTTATACATATACTTGCTGTTTTAAATGAAAAGAGAAATGAATAATAAGAAACTATACAGCTATTTTATTAAAATAAAAAATGTACAACTTTTTTGTTTTTACAAAATAATCTTAAAAAGTACATAGAAGAACAAAGGGGCAATTAATATTTTTAAGATATCAATTAAGAAAATTAACAATGATTTTTTTAGAGCAGACTCTCATGATTATTAACGCAGCCTAACTATTTTAGTTTAATTAGTGTCTTAAAAACTTTAGTTAGCAGAATCCATAGGATGAGTAAATTTTTAGAGTAATAAATTTCTTTAACATTGTTTCTTAAAAACATTTCTTTTACTTTAATTTTAAAGTTATTTCATTCAAGTCTATAATAACACAGAAATTCTCTTCACATTTTCACATTTAAAGCGGCATTTTATTTGTTATAATTTTTCCATACAATGTTAGGGTTCTCACCTCAAAATTAAATACTTTGAAAATAAATGAAAATGTTTTCATGAAATGAACTTATTTTTTGGAGGATCCAACATCTTATGGTTGTAGACGAAGAAGGTAACATAGTAGAATTTATAATCCAAAACTTGTAATAAAATTAAATTTTCAAACGCCTTTTAGTTGTATTAATCACCAATATTAGTAGAAAACAACTCAACTATCCATTGTCTATCCTATTTATTCCTTAGTAAGTTCATATTAACCGTCCATTACAAAATATGAAAAATAAAAATAAAAATGATTGAAGTAGATAAAATTTATCTATTTTATTTTATTGATGGCTAGTGATTCGTCCATTATTTTTAAAAATTCAACTTATACTCCTATTTATAATAAATAAAAATGAATTCAACATTTTTTCATAACGTCTTTATCAAATACGTTTTTTCAAGAAATATATTTGTAAAATATGAGTTAAAAAACTTAATTTTGTTAACTTGTAAAAAATATATTTTAACTTCTAAAATGATCTGTTTCATAGATGAATATATTGAATGTCCATTAATGAAAAAAAATTAATGGTTGATTTTTTATCAATAGATTATTAAAGATTGAAAGTTTCAATAATTCAAAATCAATCAATAATTTATTTTCATCTGAATCATTTGATGTAAAATAAAATATATCCATCAGTTTGCAATAAATATGCAGACTTAAATTAGAAATGGTTTTCATTCAATGATTATCTAATTATAACTATTCTTTGTACAATTCATTGTGTGATGAAAATAGTTAAGGAGAGCTATCAATACAATATTTAGAAAGTTTTCAAAAATATATTTATTTTTCTCCTAACACAGTTTTCCTTAAATCCGTTAAATCAAGAGTGACTGACTTTGAATTTTTTACACAATGAAAATAGAACATTATATTAACAAGTTGCATAACCATAGTTTACAATATTATTGTAGTTGTTCATACTAAATAAAATGATTTTGAAAAACAAAAAATGTAGATAATATTTTTTTAAAGAAATATTAAAAGAGAATAAAAAATAAAAAAGGGAAATGAAAGAGGACAGCACCATCACATGCTAACATCAGACCCTAATCTCCTTTTACTTACATCCCACGTGTACACTCCCCCGTTCACACTAATTCCGGTTGCCAGTCAAATATACGCGTTCACTGGGACCCACCGCTGCTCCTCCTTCGCAGTAAATGCTATCGCAATCCACTTGTGAGAACGAAAACCGCCACGTGTCGGTCACTCCCTAGGTGGGAAACCTCTCCCAGCCCAGCCAACCTGTTCTCCAAATTCCCCACCCCATCCAAACCCAACCAAATCAAACTCCTTTCACACACCCAATTTTTTATATATATATATATATATATATATATATTTTATTTAAACAAAACCCCCTTATTAATTATTAATCTTTATTGAAAATTGAAATATCAGATAATTGAATAATTTGAGATTAATTCTTTAATGATACATCAGTTTCTTTCCTTTCATATATATAAATCTGATGATGAAACAAAACTCCTGGTCAAAAGCTTACAAGACATGGTCTGTAACTAAACGTTTTAGCTTTAAAAAAATAATATTTTTGAATTAAGTATTAATTGTGGTAAAAAGATTGACTAAAACGTTAGAGATGAGTGTGTGAGAGCATTGGACAGTCTGAATAAAATAAGGCTAAAAAAGAAAATAAATAAATAAATAAATGGGGAAGATTGTTTTGGGGTTTTTGAGAAATATTGTTAAGCAAAAAGGGAGAGAGAAAGGGGGGAAAATGAGGAATATGTGCAAAGGTTTTTGTTGATATATAGCACCTACGATAGATTAAAAGCAATGGAGGAGAAGAGAGAGAAAGAAGCGAACTCAAAGTCATCATCCACCATGGCAAATTCTGTGGCATTTTCCGACGAGATTCCCAACATGACCATGACCATGTCCTTCCCTTTCTCCCCTGCTTTCTCCACCATCTTCGACATCATGCCACCTCTTCCTCCACCGCCATCTTCGTCCTTGCCTCACGATCCAAAAGCTTCAAACTTTCCCTTCATGGACTTGCTGTCTGTCCCTGATTATATCCCTTCCTTATTCGACTGGCCCCAAAACACCGCCGTCACCTCACCACCACCGCCACCAGCCCCCACCCAAATCACCCACGCGCTTCCCTCCCCGGCCAGCTCCAATGTCCCCGACGGAGGCTCCGAGGTCCTCAACACTCCTCCGTCTCCCAACTACTCCTCGATTTCCTCCTCCTCGAATGAGGCCGCCGCGGCCGCCGCCAACAAAGCAACTGGAAATGAAGACGAACCGGAGGAGGATGAAACGGCAACAGATGCAGCAGGAAAAGGAGAAGACCAAGATCAAGACAAGTCTAAGAATCAGTGAGTAATGATGGTGATGAAAGTAAATATTAATAATAATAGCGATGAATGAAAATGATTTAGTTTCTTAATTTTAATCTGTTTCATAAAAAAATAATGGAATTAATTCTCTGTCACTGAATGTGCTTGTGTGAAATAATAAAAAGTAATAATAAGATTAAACGAGGATAGATTTTGTTACAGTCGCAAAGACAGACAGGGTTGCCGAGTGGTGAGAATTGACGGAGTTTCTGTGTGTGTAAGTCTGTGTATGTTCATTGAACTTAAAATGGGTTTTCGTTATACTGTCATTTCTTTCCTATCTCATCTTCTTCAGATTTTGATTTGTTGTGTTTGTTTGTTATATAAATATAAACCCGAGAAAATAAGAGAAAGATTTTGATTATTTGCTTTACTAAATTTCCACGGTTAGGCCGAAGCCGAAAAAGAAGCACCAAAAGAAGCCAAGAGAACCAAGATTTGCGTTCAAGACAAAGAGTGAAGTGGATCACCTCGACGATGGCTATAGGTGGCGCAAGTACGGTCAGAAAGCCGTCAAAAACAGCCCTCATCCCAGGTAACACCAATAATTAATTAATTAATTATTTAATTAACTAATGTAGATTTCATTTATCAAATCTTGATTTAAGTAACATTGATTTGTTCTTCTCCTCTAGAATTATTTTGTTCTTTCGTTTTATTATGTATGCGGTGCTTTGGATTGCGACTTTATAATTAAAATATTTCTTGCGGTGCACGCAAAATAATCAACAACAGGAGCTACTATCGTTGCACCACCGCGGCATGCGGCGTGAAGAAGCGCGTGGAGCGTTCCTCGGAGGACCCTGCGGTGGTGGTGACAACCTACGAGGGGCAACACACGCACCCTTGTCCTGCCACGTCACGGGCTAGCCTCGGGTTCTTGCACTCCGAACCAAGCGCGTTCGGACCCACCAGTGGACTCTTCATGCTGCAACAACAACAACACCAACAGTTTCGTCATGACCAAGCACAGGCACAGGCACAAGCACAAGCTCAAGCTCAAGTAGCAATGTTGTACAACTCCACAACCACCAGCACCTCGTCTTCATCATCACCTCTGAATGTTGTTAACTCAGCTACTTGTATAAACGACTATGCCAATACGTCGTCGTTGAGTGGGTTCCTTCAGAGCCAAGAGAATCTGCGAGCTTTTGCGCTATCTAGGGTGGGAGGTCCTCAGGGTTTCTTCAATGGGCTTCTTCAGGACATGCTGCCAACGCAGATGATGAATGAAGAGAGGGGAGATCGTGTCTAGGTCATCATCATCATCATCGTCAGACATGTAGTAGTAGTAGTAGTAGTAATATTTCATCATAGAACTTTTGACATTAATTACTTCATTTTAATTTTAATTATTTGCCTGTATATTAATTATATTCTATTATTAATATCTTGCTACAATGCTATATTATGTATGTAAGGTTGGTTATCTAGCTAACTAGCTGAACATATGATGAAAAGTGAAAACCTCTGTGGCCTTTTGGGGTGTTTTGTGTTTAAGAGATTACCATAGAGAAACCTCACTTCAAATGGCTTGTGCTCATATATATGTATGTATGAAACATTTTGGAGGTTCGAGATTTTAGATATATTCTCGTTTTGCTATTCAACTTTTTCTTCTTTCCTTCTTTATATTGTATATATATTATAACTAGATATGTATATTCGATTATGAGGTATTTTTAATTGCCATGCCTTATTTTGTTTTTATTTTTCATTATTAGCTTCCTGGCAGTGATTATTATCATCATGTGGTCAGAAGTGATTTTTGGCGGTGGAAAAGCGAAGGGTTTTAGGGTTAGGGTTTTTCCTTAATTTGTTGAATTAGACACATGTGGTGAAATGGTTTAGCAAGGTGCATGTTTTGCCACTCCCACTGAGATACTTATGGCAGAGAGACTTTATGTGGGAAAGGGAAAGCCAAGAATGTAAGTTAAGAAGCAATGGAGCAGGGAAGTGTACCTATGATGAGGGAGATTTAAGAAAGAAAGATGAAAACTATGTATGAGAGTGTGTTATGATGGCCTATGACTTGACACGATGCATGAGATGAGGTATGGAAAAAGTTGCAACATTATTACTCTAGCAGTACCCTTTAGCTTTTTGTTTATGATGGCTTTTCTCATCATCTTCCCCTATAAGCTATATACAAAGATGGGCTTCAGCCATTCAATGATGATGTGTGTTTCCTGGGAGGGAAATGGCAAGAGCATGGATTGTTTCTTGTTCATACCAAAACATGGATGATGTGAGATATTGGTGTGGACAAAAGCATTACACACATATATATTGTTCTACCATAGTTTACAACTTTTGTAATACTAGAACAACCCATTGGCCATCCCACTAACCCTATCCCTGCTTCCAAATTTTCCACTTACCAGAACTACCAATATATATTGCACATACCCATCAATCATCTACTTAGCATTACATCAATTCAAACATTACATTTTAATTACTTTCTATCACTTCTCATTAACATGCATAAAATTTAAGTAGAATGTAAACACAAGAGAAAACAAAATTAAGTGCACTTTGTTGATGCCAGTAGTTAGATTAATTATTTATTTGAAGTTCGATATTCTTGATGTAGAAGAATAATCTGAGGAGTTTCTCCTATTTTATTAGATTAACAAAAGTTCATATAATTGTTGTAAAAGTTGGTTTTTTTATGTGGTTCTGATATCTGTCACAGCTTTTATCTTATTTGGAATCATATAATTAATTAGTTATCTTCTTTGTGAAATAAATATATATAAGTGTAATCAATTTATGCTGGCTTATCTAATTCTCTATACTGTTTCAAATTCCAATTCATTAAATGGAGAGTTAAATTCCAGTGATATTCAATGTTTGAAAAAATTATTTATATTGAACTGATCGAAATTCTTTCCCAAAAAGAAAGAAAGAAAGACAAGAATATTTTTTGTGGAGGCTGGGGATAGCAATGTGCTAATTGTTTGTAACCGTCCAGGAATATGATGAAGGAAAAAGATAAATCATACAACAAGATTCTTTACAAACACTGCATGAACTGGTGTATCAAGATTTTATTAAAAAGCACATTAATTAATTCCATCGCTCCACCATGTATGACCAATAATGTATAAGATTTAATCGGTAAAATCACCATCTTTTATATTTTCAACTAAATATTTTTCGTAATTCATCGATGGATCTGGAAAGAAGCCATGATTCAGTCAAGTTCATGCATGCTAGTTTAGGTTGTTTTGAAGTTTTTATCTTTTGTAGTGACTGCTTTAGGTTTTTTAATCTTCAATTCTTGATCATACCTAAAATTAAGGTTTATAATTTATGACACTCTTTGTTTTTTTTTTCTGACAGGTTCAAAGTGAATTTAATATAATGATGATTTTAAATTTATTAAAAAATGTGAGAATATTTTAGATAAGCTCTTGCATAAACTAGAAGTACTTTGCAGGTATATATACTTGAAACTTGTAAGTAAAATATTCTCTCACTCTGTTCCTTTGATTCATACTAAAAAATTATTTGGCAGGAATACCTTAATTAGAACATGACACAGATACAATGCTAGCTGAAAAAGAAATTAAGGTTTGGTGGAAGTCTAACATGTGAATGGTTTTGAAATATTACAGTTGAAACCACTGTTTCTTTTGATCTATTCCAGGTTACATTTTAAGGTTTCTACTTTCTAGAACCATGTCATGTTTGCAACTATATATATATGTTGATGCATATTGTTGATTGTAACATCATTGCAATCTAGTTAAAACCATTGTTTTGTAATTGGCATGCAAGTGGTAGTATGGACACAATAGCAGATAAGGAAGAAGAAAAAAAAAGCACTTTAAAGAAAATGTATACAGAAATTCCATGTGATGAAGCTTTACCCATTTTTCCAAGATGTCGTTGGTGAATGAATATTCTCTGATTGAAGCAATGAAGAAAAATATTTTTGTGATATAAATGAAGGTGGATTTAAAGCTAGAGACTTTTTTTTTTGGTATTAGCTAACTTTCCAGCCATGAAAACTTTATGTTATGGAATTGCAAAAGGCAACAGAAAAGTCGTATCTACTCGTAATCCAACTGTTGCAGTGGGAATTAATTTGATGCTTTATGGAAATCGAATCAATGAAGTGAAAAGAGGTGTAGTCATTTGCATCCAACCCATATGATTCGTTGCAGGCATCTCAATTGAATCCAAACTCAGTACAAAGAATAACTTATTCACTCTTAATTACCACTTTACAACATCAACACTACATTTTTCCATGAAAGCTGTGTTCTCATCTTCATCTTCATGTTTATTCCAATTCTCTAACTCTTCATCATACTCTCATACTGCTCTACATTTCAAGCTCTAGAGAGTTGTTAGGATTTTAAGTATAAGTCTAAGTTTCACATTTGATAGAAATGAAAAAGTAGAGTACCATATAAGATCAAAGATCCATTAACCCATTGTCTTAAAGTTTTGGATAGAGAGTAGTATCAATCTCTCATGTGGTTGGACTCAAATCTCAGTGATATTTGTGTCTCCCTAGTGAACATCCTCCTCGATAGACCCAATAGTGATATCAAAACTCAGACGAATACAATGAATTGAAAGTTTTTCTGGTAAAGAATTCCAAGTAAGCTAAATCTCATTTTCGATAAACCCAACAAGACCCAACAAGAGTTGTATGTGTTCATCAAGATCAAACAAGAATCAAATCCTTAGAGCTAAAGATTAAGGTTTGACTCAAGTCATTATGATTTGAATAATTTTTTAGAAATGGGAGGAACAAAGTTATGAGACATTTGACATGGGAATAACGATACCAACAAGAAATCCAAATGGAAAAAGTATATACAACTGAAATGAAGAAACTTTTTTGGCTTTATATTTTAGTTAAATTAACGGGTATATTTGGTTAGCTTATCATCATCCATGAACACCCATTAAGATAAGTTTCAAAATTGTGGAAAACTTGGGTGATTTATTCACCCTTTAACAATTTCTTTATTCCTTTCTTGTTTTGCAAGTTTAGGAATCTGTCGGACAAAAGAAATGTGTGTTAAAAATGTGGCAACCAAGGACTTAACTTCTTCATGGAAAACTCTTATACTTTGGAAGCCTATTGTCACTTTATCTATTTATGATTCCGAAAGAAAAAAAAAAAAAAAAAAAGTCCCCCAAACAAGGGAGGATGGATAACCATCAGTTCTGAGCAAGAGATTAGACAGAAAGGTGGATGATTCTGAATCATTAGAATATTTTGGTGCCAATCTCCCATTGGTAGTTCGAATTATATATATTAGTCTGCTAGGGAAAAAGTTGGTTAGAAATCATAAATTGTAATAAGCATATGAACAATGATTTATGAATTGAAGATGGATAAAATCTTTTCTTGTATCATTATTCTAATTAAATAAATAGATGTTTTGGAAAAGAAGAAAAAGGGGTTCAAAATGGATGTTTATAGTATTTTTTGTGTGCAGAAATTATGGGCTATGGGCTATTATTCTTTGCTGACACTGTTTTTATACATTGTAAAAGCGCTTCACCAAGTAATATATACATTTAACTTTCACTTAATCAAACTCTTCATTAAGAACTCCGCAATTGAGAATTCGAGCAGTTAACATAAATTCATATGTATTTTTAGTTGTGTTTGTAATGTGTAACTAAATGATAAGTGAGACTTTTGTTTGCTCAACAATGATGTAACGTAGGTTTTTGTAGCTCTATGTGCAAACTTGAGGATGAAGGCCTCAATATAGAATTTATATTGCATATATTTATATAATTTGTTTATATTATAATTAATTTCATAGGTGTTAAAAAACATTTTATTTTATTAGGTTTATCGGAAGTGGATAATTTAAGAGATACAACACTAATAAAATCTCGAACTAACCTTTAAGGGGATTGACATTATTTTCAACTCAAAATCTTAAAGCAATGAATTAATAGATCTTCATTCTTATATGATGTTTTACTTTCTTATTTCTATCCAATGTGAAATTTAGACCCACATTTAAATTTTCAACAACTTTGATTATTGTGTGTTTCATGCTCGTTTCGTTTTTTATATAAAGCTTGTATCTAAAATTACTTTTATAACTAAAAGGGCATGGAGAAAGGATCACTAATGTGACATAATTTAAGAAAATTATATAAAGAGTTTAACAAAAATGTACAGAGACAGTTGGGCTATAGCCAAATTTAGTACACCAAGGTTGAAATGTGAAAGTAGTTGGGAGATAGAATGAAAGTTGTAGTGAAGAAGAGGTTGGTTTTGGATGAGAAAAAATTTCATGTTATTGTATATTGAAAGTAATTATGGCAAGAGGACCTGGTTAAATGGCTAAGAATGGTTAAATGTGGAAAACTACAACACTAAAATTGAAGTCTTCAAATGCCTGTAGAAGATTCCTCCTCCCTCAAAAAGTAGCTTTTGTTCAGAGATTAATAATGGATAGAATTCAAATAAGAAAGAATATATGAAAGTGAGATATTATAACCCATTAATAATAGTTTGTTAGTACACAAATTTAAGCTAGAAATACTTGTGGTATTGATTCATGTTCAAGATGATGGATGTTAATGATATATTATT